TGTCCCAACGCTTTGGACTTCATTAGTTCCACTGGCTGTGACAGTGCTATAGTAAAGAGTTCTCACTAAACTGTTCACTGTACACTGCCTCCAACCTTCAGTGTGACTTAAACCAGCTGGAGTGAAAATCTGTAAAATAGATATACTTGGTGGCAGCGGTGGGATTCCAAGAGACTGCTGCCTAAACCAGCGTCTTAGGCTCCATTCAGAATAGGGGACTAACTAGTCCGAGGGTGAAATATGGCCAATCCACTTGAATACTTCCCCATGGGATATCTTTTCAGGGTCTATTAGCTAATTAGCTGACAAGCTTTGTAATGGGTCGCAATATTTGACCCTAGCCTCGAACTAGTGAGTCCCCTATTCTGAATGGGGCCTTAGACCTAAGCTACACTAAGTCGTCTAAGGGGTTCGTATAGTTAACTATCTGTAATGATTAAAGTCACCTTGATTTTTAAGTAATAGAAATTTAGGCAAAAGTAATCTTCAAAAACTATGCCCACTTAGACTTAGAACCCAAGTACGGGATTTTAGAACATAATTTTGTCAACCGTTTTAGACGGTATAAAATTGGTGATGAAGGCAAAGGTTTACATTTACAGGAAAAATAAAGACTTGATATATAAGAGTCTTTCATGCACTGTGTACCTTTATCTTTGCATGATATAAGTATAGATGCGACGTTGGTAACCTTATACAATCGTAGAAATACAATTGTGGTACCCCAGTAAAGCCAAGTCATTTCAGGTAATGGGCGTGTTGCCAATTAGTTATCACCACCAATGCTCAAATTAATGAAATACGATGTGACATTCTATTATATCATGTTTCGAGGAAATAAAAAGCATTTTACTAAAATAATTACCTCCGCAAAGAAGGTAATGTTTTCTCGGAATTCCGTCTGCTTCTTCGTCAGTCTGTCTGTTCGTCACCGGCCTGACTTAAAACGTTATGGAGGGATTTTGATGAGATTTTCAAGACAGGGCAGGTATGGGATGATTTAAAAGTGATTAGATTTTGGTGATAATCCATTAATTAATTAATTAATGGTTATTTAATAGTTCATGGTATGGACGAGTATCCATTACCTGATAAAAATTCCCAGCACATGGGGTGTGATTATTTGAACTCTGGTTTAATCCATCATATGAAAAGGTTCCGACATATTCAGGACTAATTTCCCCCTTGTTATTGTTTTAATTTAAAATATATATTAGCGGAGAATTCGGTGCAGGAAGCGACCACAATAAGGTAATACCACGGCTGTTGACAACAGAGTTGACGTACAAACTTACCAATGAGCCGACATACACCAAAAATAGAAAATAAATAAAGCAGATTGCACAGTACTAGCAGTTGTTTGTATCATTTATGTTGATGATAACAAAAGGAAAAGAAATGCCGTTTCGTAACTGTTTTGAACGGATATTGTAACACGAGTAAAAACCGGATTGAAATCTGAGCCGATTTTAGAACAAAGTACGGACCGGCGGAAAACATATATTATTCACGCTAGTAAGAATTGCATAGGAAGCCGAGCACATGATCGCAAAGGCGACATTTCAAAACCAACACACTGTAGGTCTACGAATACGTTGAATAACGCTTCATAAACGTCTCTAATACAATGGCTTTGCAGAATGAAACTTGGATCAACTTATAATTACAAAAATGAAACACATGAAAAGGCTGCAATATTTTCCGTTCATCAACACTGTGGTTAGGATTTGATATTGTTTATCAAATATTGCTAATGCCCAAAGTTGAAGGGGGAGGGCGGGAGGGAGGGAGACAGAGAGGGCAAAATTCGTGTTCCAAGCGTAGCAGTGAAACTGGGGCTTTAGACAGTTCCCGGGTGTTGTTTGAACATCAAAAGCACCGGTTCATTGATGTCAGTGAAGTTCTGGATGACATTGACGTCCATTGACGTCTAATACGGGCTCATTCCCTTTCATTACGTTTCTAACGTACTCGTTTAACCTCCAATTTTTCTGTATTTATTCAACGCCAGAAGAAGGCGTCTTTATCTGTTAATCTGATCATTCAGCGAAAGTCCCTGCGGAGTTGGATTGATCACGAAGAACGATCGTTTCATTGGGAGCCCTAAGGTACCTTGTACGTGTACACCTCCGTTCATAGACGAATTAAATTCACCCCACTCAACCACCAGTTGGAGCCAGTGTGACAGGGATGTAGTCCTCTAAGAACCCATAACTCCCCATAACTCCCCATAACTTTGTACAGGTGGCATTCGTTCCATAGACTAACGCCAATACTGCGACTAACCCCAACCTGTACTATTCACATGGGAGCCCGGACTTCCATTCCTAGGACTACCATTTCTGTCACACCAGGGTGGCTAGGAATGGCGTCTGTATGCTACGTTTAACCTTGTTATTGACGATATTTAAACGCTGCGGTTCCGATTTTTATTTTCTTGCTCTATATTTAATAAAGGCGTTTTTCTAAAATACATCTTAGCTCCAATAACGCATGTGGACTATTTCACTTTATTTTTCCATAACCACTTTTTGAAAACATGAATCTTATCTATTGTCATCTGTATTCCCCAGCAACGGCAGTTAACACTCTCTATAGAATACGCCTATACCATGCGTCCATACAGTGCGACTATGCAGTACTATTGGTTCCTACTGGGGACCTTATATCCTCATAAATCATCGAAGACAAAGCGGCCATCAACCGTCATGTAATGGCTGTAATAGCACTTTCGCTGATAGCTTGTTCCACTTCACTCATATATTAATACCACCTTGACGTCCACTACAGAGGTCGGTGTGTCTGCTAATACTGGACATACTTTGAATAAGTCTATATAGTGACAATGAGAACTAACAAAAATATATAACGGAAATATCTCGTGGGATAAATAAAAACAATTATATAAATCATTTTTGGCACCCTTTGTATTGGTATGCAGCTTTGTTTCATACTGAAAAGAATTAAGTCCATCAACTTTACTTGAACATTTCTTAAATGCTTTGTTTGGAATTTGTAGATACTTTTTACTTTTAGCAGACTGCACTTTTAACATTATCAATTAATAAACGAATGATACGGTGTTATTTGGACGGGGTAACTTGACTTTGGTACATATAATTATGTGTACGTCTGACACCCTAATTTAAAGTCAGATAATCTTAAATAAATCTAAAATAGCCTGTCTGTTTCTTATCTACAGGTTTTGTATTGTTTGTATATCACATAATCAGTTTATAACGCTGATTAATTAACCTGGAACCAATACATTTTAATTTGGTTTTCATTAATTGTGTGACTGACACACGTACCTGGCTAATTAAAACACCTTCAGAATGAACCATGGGGAAAACTGGAACCTATTGGTGATCACCCAACCATAACAATGAGGGACTTGAGCAGAAACTCCTATTTTAGTTGTGGGTTTATAGGTACTGGTACTGTGAAGTTTTATCTACACTTACATCTAACTTTATATTGGAAAGTTTAAATTAATTATAGTTGGCGTTAATGGTATAAGTAATACCCACGTTAACTGTGTTCTGATTGAGTATATTGTTCCACGTGTTGATTACACCTAATGTTCGCCCTAGATTTCGGGACCTCGAAAGCAAAACCACCAATCACTGCTGTAATACGACTAAGCCGTTTTGTCACATTAGCATGTTGAGATGTGGAATGATCGACCGCTAATTTACTTTTTTCTGCTATATATATAAACACCGTGTGAGGACTGCCCCTCATTGGAAGGATAGATGGATAGATAGAAAATGTTGTTATTCATGGATATCACCATTTGGTTAGGTGATCCGTCACTTGAAGGTAACCAGCCAGGCTTTGTTTTGCGCGGGTGATAACCTGTTGTGGTTTCGTTTACACCCAACATCAGCCACTCCAGGACCGCTCCGATTTCAATCAATTAGGAATAATCATCCCAATAACCAGGTAAGCCTGTGTAAGGACTCTCAGAAAAGCTACGGATCGATGGATAACTCTGGCGATGCCCATAGTACATACTATATAAAGTCGCTGTAGTAGTATCTTTGCTGTATATAACGCAGGGTGTTGTAATATATATAGACGGGGTCCATTTGGAGGTTAATAGCTCAAATATATGTAAGTATTTTATTCTATTATTTTGTTTCGGAGTTGATAGCTAATTGAACAACATTTTCAAATTATCCAAGGAAATAGCATGTTCAGAAAAAACATTTTTGGCAATGATGTACATGGTGACAAAATCGTCGAAAACGGTCCAGGTGAGATACCGCAGATGGATGGACCAGTTTCAATAAATTTCCTCATCAGTTCCAAATTACCAACTGAGTGAAAACATGTAAGGACACAGGAACATTGATGAAATCAAGTCGGAAAGATAAACCATGTGGTCGAATCGAAAGTTAGCTGCAAGATCGCCATAGAATGTGGACATATAGTGCCAGATTCTGTTGGTAGGAGTCCAAGTATGCCATTAGCGCCGAGGCTCACATTAAAAAGTGCCTTGCAATGTTTAATTTTTAACAAGTGATGCAGAATGAAAACTTATTTCAATAGTTATCATATTAGTTTAAAAAACGAAGTTTTATTGTCTTTCTTTTTTTCTGGATTTAACGGATCACGTTTATACTGAAACACCGTAAGTCACGTCGTGGAGGCAATTATTATTTCCAATTTGTACCGATATTGGCTTAGATATGACATGTACACTGTATCTATTAGAGGGGCTGAAGAACCATACCGTTTAAGGGGGTGGGGAACTGAAAAATCGGTCTGATACCCGATCGTCCGACATGCATGTGTCATTAAATGCACATACAAAGATTATTTTATGGTTGTGTGTGTGTGTGGGTGTGTGGGTGGGTGGGTGGGGGGGGAGGGGGCGCACAAAGAAAGTGAAACTGTAGAAGACAAATTCTACAAATTCTTCTTGATCGTCGCTGTTAAAGTACACTTTTGGGCTTAAAATTACGATTCTGCTTCATTCTTTTCAGATTCTGAAGGCCTTGGCACGTGAAATGTCTGAGTGTGACGGAGTGTTCCCGGGATCCTGTCGCACTGGTTACGTTCCAAAGTCAAACATTAAATGATTTTGTTAACTTCTGCAGGACACAAGGCGTTTTAAAGTAGCCAATGACAACAGTGGATGGCTTCCTGATACTTACAGCGCGTTTTTTTTTTTTGTGTTGACGTGGAGATAGGGGAGTGACGTTTTGAGTACACAGATCTTTTTGGAAAAAGAAACAGTCTGGATCGTCTTTAGCTACATTAAAAGGGAAATGTGTCTATGAATGTGTACATGGCTGCCTTATATGCTCGCAAAGGAGTGAAATAACTGACAGAAAACGTGGTGATCGTTTGTTTGGGATACTGAGATCCGAAGAACAAGACGAGTGCACAAATTATCCCGGTTTTCCATAATATTGACATCTTAAGCTGTGATATTCAATATATCAGTCAATATTGCAACACGTGTTCAAACATTGAGAGCCATTTCTTTGCATAATTGTGAAAAAAAACATTGTTTTTGTTTTTATGGATACTAACACGCATTGTCTACATGCAGTGCTACTCCGACGTCGTACGTACAAAATTTACAGCCAATTTAGACGTTTGGATAAAATAACGTGCTTCTACAGAGCAAGGCGCGGCGCACTTCACAAAAGACAAACACCATTGGAATGATTGATACGGAATCGATTTTAACCCTCAATATTCACTTGGCAATCTTCAAGTACCCCAGCGCAAACAGCCCTCAAAGGGTAATCTCTGGTTTTAAGGCTGTTATCATTAGCTGGATTGTCTGGCCGACGCTGGTGTATTCATGAGTTGCTGTCCGTCTGAAATGTCGTCTGCGGCGTGCACATCACGGTTTATTTCCAAGGCGCATTTGAGAAAGACAAAAACGATTGAATCTGGCGAACGCTGATATATTGGCTGATTAATTCGAAGAACCAACTAAGTCCCTCGTTGCTGGATGACATTTAACTCTGATAATGACGCATGTGTTACAGTTGTTGAACTAGATTTTAAGGAAACGGGGTACATGGAATCTCGTCTGCTGTTCCAATTTTGCACACAGAGCTAGTTATAGACGTGCATGCCTTTCCAAGAACCCTACCAGGAAGCTGGATACTGACGTTAATCAGAAGCACGGAGAGTGTCGTGCGTTTTATTATGACATTTCACTTAATGGCGACTGGGTACAGCAAAACTTAAAGATGTCACGCGCTTGACTCTGTTTGGCATTCACTTATGATATCTGTATGGAGTTCCGATTGGCAAATGGCGTCTTATTGATAGACGGAGAACTAATTGGAGATAAATAATGGATGTTTAAACAACAAGGGACGTTCATATAGACAGATGCTGAGAAGGGAATTACCGATATCAACATGATTATTCAACTTAACGGGTGTGAAAACAAGAATATGGTTCTACAAAACCGTTCTCAGATTGCCAGCAAAACAATTGCTGTTAAAAACTGAGCTCTTTTTTTGAAGACGACAGACATGATTTAGAATAACACGGTCTGTTCATTAGAAAATGGAGCCGCATAAAGAAAAATAAAGACTTTTTCTACACCATTTCATGGAAATGACCTGTAGCATTTATGTCACTGACGTACCTCTATAAAGAACGTTAAGGCAACACGTACACATCAGTCGTGACATTTACACAGATCGTGTGACATTAGACACATTTATATATCCCACTTTCTTGGAAAGTTTTTACCCTTTCAAACCTTTACAAACCACTGAAGTGTTTAACCGAAACGCTCACAACATACAACGGCCGTGAAGGTTGACTAAATGTTTGATCAAGTATGTAAAAGGCACCATTTATTCCACTGACGTTAAGAAAAATACATTCGTGATTAATTCGCTTGAACGAAGACGGCAACAGCCATCAGTCGCTTTAAAAAAAGTCTTGAAATGGAGACGGAATAAAGGGAAGCGTTTACTTTTCAGTGAAGCTAGTTTTATTATAGACGTGATTTCTATTGGATAAGAGAACATCAAGGCATTCACCCATGGACAAATCCCGGCCTGTATCAGTAGCGGCGTATCATTTATTACCGGGGATGGCTGGGACGTACGACATTTCCACCGCTGCAACTGTCTCTGGCAACAAAGACCGTGCCTCACGCGACGTAACGCCAGTCACGCTGACAGCGTCACACGGAAGCCTCGAAGACAGCATTGTGTCGGCCGGAGACGTGGAGATGGAAAACGTGGCCACAACGTCTACCACGCATGCGCGTGGAATAGCCGGAAGAGGCTTACCAAGTGTTGATGAAAACGATGACTCCTTGATTACATCCTGCGTGAAAAGTGGGGAGGATATCACCGGACACACTCAGCATGGTGAGCAACATTGTAAGCTTGAGCAGGTCCGAAAACAGTCCACTGTCAGTGAATTGAACACGCCCAGCACCGCATTTCGGCCTAAAGCTCTGCTCTGGAGAAAAGCGTTTCAGAAAATCCAAGAGGAGCACGCGAACAATCTGGATCAGGGTTCACGGTGGGCGAGGTCGATTTCGGAAACGCTGCGCCGACGCTCAGTGGCTGAAGTCGCGCGCATGAACACCGCGTCTCTGGATGGACAATCCGTCTCATCATTTTCGCAAAAGACGCCGGGACCCGCCGGTGGTGTTGGCCTGAGCAAGGTGTCTCCTGAACCCAACATGACTGGTTCCACGTTGGAAAGCCTCGCGGACACCGAATACGCGAGCGAGGAGTACCTCAACAGTGGACGGCGTTTTCGCGGACTTCTTCTTCCCACATGTAACGTCACCTTTAAATATAGAGTCATGGAAAAACTGTTTCAGAGATATTTCAGAAGGCAGAAACTTCACGCTTTGGTGGAAATTAACATAGTGGAAATATTTCTGAATCTTCTGCTTCTGATACTTTACGTGTCGTTCAATTTGCGCTCTATGGACGTGGCTAAGCCGGCCACTTACACGACCATAGTCTTATGCCTCATGCTACTGACCGGGTCGTTGTTTTACAAGAAGATCAGGAAATATGGCTTAAAGATGTTTTGTATAATCACGTGGATAATATTGTCAGCACAGCCTTTAATATCCATGGCTTTCACCTTCATATCAAAGGGGGATCAGCCGATGACTATACTCACCTATGACGCCTGGTATAGTCTGGTGGTGATTTACGCTACATATACACGGCTTCACTTGAATCTCGGGTGGAGCGTGTCCTTGGCGGTGCTGTCCTCTTTGGGGTTTTTGGCGGAGGCAGGCATGCTTTTGATTTGGGGACATACGGCAGGGTCGCTCCCGAAAGAGGTGAGAATCTATTTCCGTTTTATTACCTCATTAGATTAAATAGTGATACAGTCGGATGTGTCATTTTGAGAGGCGCATGTTATCATTGTTTTCTTTTAAAACCTACAAACCTACGTCACTGTTCATTTGCAATACTCTTCTGGCGGAAAGTCCCCTAAAACCTGGGATATGTATAAACCTATATTAAAACGTGTCATAATATCACTAAAAGCCATTAAAAATCCAATCCTCCAAAATGCCATTCGCCATAACATTGACATACATAGTAGCCCCATTTCACAGATAAATATTTAAATATTCATCTGTATTGCAATGAATACCATACAACAATGTTGCAACCCCCATATAAATATAGTTGCGCAATAACTTTGGCTCAACCAAGCAAAAACCAACTGCTGTATCTAGACCTGCATGAAACCTTCCCGTTAGATCTATCGGTCGCTAACCCTACCGCTACTGTAATACGTTCCGGTAAGATCGATTACCGTTAGTTTTAATTCATTACGTTATTGTTTCTCCCGTAACCCATTATCACCAGTTCCTGTTGAACATTATCTCTCCCAGTTTGATCAGATTGAAGTAAATGAATTAAGTGCAGATTGCAGAAAATTAAATTTTGTGAAAAAAGAGCTGATGTATCAATGAATCATAGCATTGAAGTAGAACGGTTTAAGATAACGATTAAACATCCGGGACGTTAGATGACATAATCATGATAATCATCATAAAAACTCCTTACCCATCACGTAGGGTCAACCTGATTACCTTGTTAAATATATTGAATCTTGCAGTAAATATTGTCAGAATATTTGATTTGCGATCTTTGTTCTCACACTTTATGTGACTGACCAACCTAGAATGCCGAAGTACTGATTCACGTATTCATTTTACCTTTTGAATTCATACCCCCGAATCGCTCAAGTAAAAAAAAAACATATCTCAAAAAAGACCTGTGTGCTGAATCTCCTTCACGATCTAATTGTTTAAACGTGTTAAGAAATTCTTTATCTGGTCTTTTTCAAAATATTTATCATGCCAGTGCCTATCATTCCACGTTTGGATCCAGGTATCACGTCAGCAAAGACTTCTGCAGTACTGCAATAAGTGTTTTGACTAGCTTTAAAATCAAATCCATATTCATAAGAATCCAATATCAAGTATTTTGATGGTTATGTAAGTTCAAGCGATTAAATACTTACTTGTCGGTCGCGTGTGTTGTAGGTGCCATAATGACAGCATTAAAGCGTGTTTTTTTCTTGGTATGGCTGGCGTGTTCTTTTTTTATGGCATTGTGATGCTAACAAAAAGAAAGAAAAAAATATCAGAACCTTGACATTCGTCTCGTGGTCTCGTTAACACATCAACACGTACTTCCTGTTAGCGTATTCTAAACGAAGGTGTCTGACGGTTACAAAGTCTGCCACATGTTTGTTAAAAAAGCTGTCTCATTGCAAGGTGACAACGCAATTTGGTGAAGTGTCGTATGCAAATGCTGGCATCCCGACATTTCATCTCCACGCCGCGATATAAACAACTCTCCAGGAGCCTCCCTCACACAAGACACAAGATTCCTTTAATTAAAGTGCGTTATCTGGCAATTATTTTGTATGAATCTGGTGAAGGCAGTAGAAGACCATTCAGTAGGATATTACCTTCATTAAACTACAGTGTACTGTTGTTTACGTGGATTACGTAGGACTTTTTAGAAATATGGGTTAAAATGGAGCATTTACCGCACTTCTATCTCTTCTCCGCTGTGGAATGGAAAAGTACACCTAGTTTACACCCTGCAGAAGGGAATCAACTGCACTATATTCTACCCCCCCCCCCCCCTCCTTCAAGCACGCTATGGAGACACAATTTGATGGTATAGACAAAGGTCAGCACTCAAAAAGGTCAGCACTCACGAAAAGAACTTCGGCCAATGAATAGATTAAATCGAAACAGTTTTTCAAAAACACTATAGCAAGAGAATCATAGAGAACAGTTATCGTCAAAGTTCTAAAAAAAAAAACAAACAAACAAACAAAAAAAAAAAAACAGGGCAGAGAGATAGAAAGAAAGAGAACGAAAAACACAAAGGTCACGCGTATCTGCGGTATAATCTCTCGCAGGGAGCATGCAATCAACAAGATGTATTGGCTTGTTTTGCCATTGATCGTTCATGAAATGGATATTGTCGGGCTTTAAGTCCAGTATGATGCTTGGAACACAGGGGGTATATCTATCAATTCTTCCATAAAACCATTAAATGCCCCGTCGCGGTTTCACTTTATAATTAGACACATTTTCCAGTCTTTGCTGGCTCATTTTGAAGGATAGGCAACTTATTAGACAACTTGTGCGGAAGAGAAATGCCAAAAAGAAAACCCCCGCTCTCCACGCAGCCGGCTAATTAAAGTTTTGTGTTCACAACAGGAAACGGACCTATGGATAAATTGAGAAAAAGGTGGGGAGGCTGTGGTGATGGTGG